CAAAACTGCCTCATTTGTTAAAGGACTGTGTTGTGTGAAGGTCCAGTTCTGGTACCACAAGCATGGATCACACAAAGGCTCCCAATTCATCTCCTCCAGTGACTCTAGCAAGTTACTTCATCTGTCTGCATCTCTGTCTTCGCTGTACACAGAAAACAGGTTCACCTGATGGAGGGGGGGACATAATGAAATGCCTAGGAGCAACCAGGGCTAATGGAAATGAATGAGACTTTTAAACAATTAGGCAAGGTGGGGACTGAGGGAAATCCGAGCTCAGGTCTGACAGCTAGTGCCATGTGATTGCTACAGAATGTGGGCCTCAGTTTCCCTCCACCAATAAAAGGACAGTTTCAGGAAAAGGAAAGTGGTTTAATTTGTTGACAAATGAGGTCAGTAAACTCCTGTGTGAGAGAACACTGTCCTGCTCTTTGGCAGGGTGCAAGCTTATTTATACAAAGGAGTAAGACAAAAGAGAGATGGGAAAGGGTCTAGCAAAGGAAGGGGGGGAAGGGCTTGCACAGAGAAAGTGGGGCCAGTTTGCTTTGTTAACAACTGCTGTTTAACTCTCTTTTCCTTGAAAAGCAAGAAGAGAAACATGTTAAACAAAGGGGGAGTTGCAAGAGATAGGAGGAAGATAAACGTGTTAATGTTTATCTGAGAGACCTGTCATTTGTAACTGCATCATGATGCTATAAATCAGTATTGCCAGATTTTTAAGGAAACCCAGAAATCTTCATGTGAAATCTACAGCTTACAATCCATTCATTCAACAAACACCTATTTGTTAGCACCAGCCTCACACCAGCCACCCTTCTAGGCAATGGGATAAAGCGGAGTACAAAACTGGCCCCCAAAACCCCCTGGAGTAAACTCTCATGGAGTTTACATTTTAGTGGTTAATGCACAGATGATATCGGGGACCGGCCCTGATCACACATTGTTGGGGGGCAAAACAGGCAGGGTCTCAGGTGGGAGCGGCATCAGTGAGCAGGGATTCCTTAAAATATAGGGGGGAGGGTCCTCCCTGGTGGCGCAGCGGGTTAAAGCACAGCACTGAGAATCTAAAGCCGCTTCTGCATGAGTTCGATCCCCGCCTGCCCTGGAGGTGCCCACATGGGGGGAGGGTCCTCCCTGGTGGTGCAGCTGGTT